TCACAAAACAAATAAAAGTAGTTCATACTAGTTACCTAAACACTGATCTGCATTAGTTCATGCCAGTCACCTTGCAGCTGATCCTCATAATGCTAAGCAAGTTATCTACAACTGATCCACATTAGTTGATACTAGTCACCCAACAACTGATCCACATTAGTTGATACTAGTCACCCAACAACTGATCCACATTAGTTGATACTAGTCACCCAATAACTGATCCACATTAGTTGATACTAGTCACCCAACAACGTTTCCACATTAGTTGATACTAGTCACCTAACAACTTTTCCACATTAGTTGATACTAGTCACCCAACAAGTTTCCACATTAGTTGATACTAGTCACCCAACAACTGATCCACATTAGTTGATACTAGTCACCTAACAACGTTTCCACATTAGTTATTACTATAGTGGCCCTTCAACAGATCTGTACAAAATATTTCACAAGCTTCAAGAATACATGCGACCTGAGTTATGACATTGAGCTTGTACAGGTTTCATTGAAGAAGATGCTACAGAATGTACACACCCACACACACATCTCAAATATTTGGCTTTGCAGGTTTGACATTATCTTATTGCACACAATCTCAGTAGGCTGTATGCATTCACACGTGTAGTGTTCCCTTCTGAAACACATGTATAAACATTATCTCACCAGCTGCAGCAGCGTGTGCGGTTGACGATAACCCGAGGACCTGAATTACCATATTTCCTCTGTTAGAAGCTATCACATGTTCTGTCTTTAAATTAGAAGCCAAACCTCTGTTCTCAGATCTTAAAAACTGATATTTTGGTAATTAATGGCCTTTTGACATGCTGGCCTCTAATGGAGGCCGTCAATGTAACTTATGTACAGAATCTAGTACTTTTTTTTAGTTGAGTCCCATCCGGGATTCAAATACACACCCTCAGAGTCAGGCACCTAATCACCAGCACACAAATTCAGCCGTCTAACCCACTCAGCCACCGCAGCTTCCACAAAAGTGTTCCATGGGCGGATCGGGGGGTGGGGGTGGGTGGTGTTCAGGGGTTTCAATGTATTCATGGCCTAATCGATGGTTTTCGTTAAATTGTCACGTACCTGGGCATCTTATAGAGGAAATACGGAAGGGCTGGTTTTTAAGTTTGACATTATAAGAAGCACAATCCCATGTATATTTGTTTTGGAGCCACAAGTACAGAACTGTTTGTTTGAACCTGTGTAGATTTGTTTGATATGGAGCCATAATATGCAGTGCTTCCTTCAGTGTATGTTGATAAGAAACAATGTTTTCATGGAGAGAGGAAAACATTGCAACAACCTGAAGTTATTCTTTCTTTATGCAGTCTGACATTTAGAGGGTTAGGAAAAGTTGTTAGGGGAACAGCAGAAGTTGATCAGGAAGATTGTCTGCATTGCAAATTGTTGAGTTTACATTTATTGGCACACCTGGGTACGTTGCATGGAGACATTGTGACTTGTACTGTCTAGTGCTTCAGTTAACCTGGAAAGTCTGAAAATTACCATAACATTATAGCTCTTTAAATGATGATAGTATTACTTTCAATTTTGAGAAATATCTTTATTGCATCACTTTAATAAACAAAAATCTTGGGAACCAAAGAAAAATATTTTTGCCTGACAGAATTCAACATCTTGCACTGCAAGCACAAGCTGAGGGAATTAGAAGATTTGATCCATCATTACAGGGCATGAGATGTACGACACATGAATCATTAAATGTATCTTAAGTTTTCAAATCCAGCAAATAGCAATAGCGAAATGAAAATGTAATTAAGATTACTTTGCTGATATCTATTTTATGCTGTCAGTGTTAGTGATTAAAAAATACACACAAAAATTATGTTATTTCACTCGGTAGTTTGTAGAAATAGTATTCATTCTGAATTAAGCCATACGTAGAAATAGTATTCATTCTGAATTAAGCCATATGTAGAAATAGTATTCATTCTGAATTAAGACATACGTAGAAATAGTATTCATTCTTAATTAAGCCATACGTAGAAATATTATTCATTCTGAATTAAGACATACGTAGAAATAGCATTCATTCTGAATTAAGACATATTATAGAAATAGTATTTATTATTAATTAAGCCATGCGTAGAAATAGTATTCATTCTGAATTAAGACATACGTAGAAATAGTATTCATTCTGAATTAAGACGTACGTAGAAATAGTATTAATTCTGAATTAAGACGTGCGTAGATATAGCATTCATTCTGAATTAAGACATAAGTAGAAATAGTATTCATTCTGAATTAAGCCATACGTAGCAATAGCATTCATTCTGAATTAAGCCATACATAGAAATAGTATTCATTCTGAATTAAGCCATACGGAGAAATAGTATTCATTCTGAATTAAGACATACATAGCAATAGCCTTCATTCTGAATTAAGCCATACATAGAAATAGTATTCATTCTGAATTAAGACATACGTAGAAATAGCATTCATTCTGAATTAAGCCATACGTAGAAATAGTATTCATTCTGAATTAAGACGTACGTAGAAATAGAATTAATTCTGAATTAAGACGTCGGCGTAGATATAGCATTCATTCTGAATTAAGACATACGTAGAAATAGTATTCATTCTGAATTAAGACATATGTAGAAATAGTATTCATTCTGAATTAAGACATACGTAGAAATAGTATTCATTCTTAATTAAGCCATACGTAGAAATATTATTCATTCTGAATTAAGACATACGTAGAAATAGCATTCATTCTGAATTAAGACATATTATAGAAATAGTATTTATTATTAATTAAGCCATGCGTAGAAATAGTATTCATTCTGAATTAAGACGTACGTAGAAATAGAATTAATTCTGAATTAAGACGTGCGTAGATATAGCATTCATTCTGAATTAAGACATACGTAGAAATAGTATTCATTCTGAATTAAGACATAAGTAGAAATAGTATTCATTCTGAATTAAGACATACGTAGAAATAGTATTCATTCTGAATTAAGACATACAGAGTTGAGTGTTTACTACATAGCTTGAAGTGTCGTAAGCCGATATGAGTTTTGATTTGACATATCCAAATGCACAGTCATTTAGGAAAGAACGAAGCCACCTTCTTGTACTTCAGAAATTCATTAAAGTTTGGGGTGTGTTTTTTTTGTGTTTTTTCACCATATTTGTTTTTGGGGGGAAACAGCATATATTTGTTGTCACTCCTTCAAATTATTTTATGTATTTGAAACAAGACTGTGAACATTTTCATCATGCTATACTGCATATACAGCATTTTTTATTTTCCAACATCTTCTGAACAAACACATCAAACTAGGGGCCTGCCCTGATTTTCCAATGAAACAATGGAGATCTGAGAACAGCAGAACAGGAACAATTTGAAACACAAGAGTACGGATATATTATCATATTGATCATTGGACTGTGGCTTTTAATGAGACAATCAACAGAAAGTGCACAGTTTCTTTTATATAGTATGCAAAAGTTGAATATTAGTTCCAGACGCGCAGACGTCTCAAACAGTCGCAACAGCTGAATATATCAACATCTCCATCTGCTGCTTTAAGGTTGCACAAAATCAATTATTACTTCTATAGTAATGGGTTTTTTCAAATCAACAAAGCCATCAACAGCCATTACATGTGTGCACAGTCTAGCCTTAAAGCAGCAAAGGAAAATAAGGAAATTACTACCTCAGCCAATCCATCTTAGTACAGGAAGCTAAACAGACCAACCCCAGTTCAGCATAAAGTGTCAACCGCTTGAAAATACCTTGGGTCACATTCAGCGAAAGTCCTCATGTTCAATAAGACACAACTAAATATCAAGAAACATGGCAAATTTATATTGCTGGATAGATGTCCATTTAAAAAGCACAAAAACCTTACACAAAATCATCCAATCACAACGGTCAGATGATTCAATCTGCACTTAAGACTCCCTACAAAAATGGATTGTTAAACTCAGGATTCTGATCTGGTGTAATGTAACCTAAACATGGGGATCCAGATTCTGTTGGAAGTCAGTAACTAATTACTGTTTACTGACTCTGGAAGGGAATGGAAGATGTCTCCTGAACACACTAGTGATAGAGCCAGATTTAGATTGATGGTTTTCGTCTGCAGATCAGGTTGCATTGAACAAATGTGAATCAGTTGTAGGGCCATTAGTATCACATTTCTTGCATCACCCACCTTATATGATAAGCATCAAGTCTCCAGTTTGAAGTCGACATGGAATATACAAACTATATACCCAGTCTTTAACTGACTGGGTCATTATAAAGGTTATCAAATAGGAAATTCTCACACAAAATTTCATGCTCCATTATCCATTTTTGGTACATATTGATACCATTTTGAGCCTGATTCAAATGACACAAGGCATCAAATAGCCATCCAATCAGACAACACTCTAAAGCAAACTACATTTTGTGCTCGGTTAGTGACAACAAAGATGGTCATGTGACTTCCAGTACAGAACAATCGTGACGAAGAGGTCCAGTGTATGAAGAATGTCAACACTGGATGGTCAAGGCACAAACTGGTACAGGCACACCACAGAGTGTGGATGAAGGTCAAGGTCACTCTGTGTCTGGTATGAGGTAGTTGTTGGACAACTATGATTTCACTCTGTTTTTTACTGAGTCAATGATTGGTAACAGAGGCTGCTTTGCTGTTGCTTGGCAATTAACCTCCTCCAATTGCTAATATATCTGCATCAACATAGTGACCTTGACCTTCATTCACTCTGGAATTGAAATGTCTACACCTCATCAGAAGTTTCAAATCACTGACTCACTCACTCTTACATTTTATCTTTTATGCATGACACAGAAACATGCTGCTTAAAACAATGACCTAGATCGTTCCTAGTCACACAGCGCCATCACAACCTAGGACACAATCTGTCTCCCCACTAGCATGGGAAGACTAAGGGAGGCTACTGTGATGAAGCAGGTCTTTGACTTTGAATCTTAAATGTGTGCTGTTCTCTTCCAGTTGATTCTCCAAGATTCTATCACCCATCCAACTCTCCATCAGGGTTCAAGGTCATGGACCGAAAGTTTTCAGCCCCAGTTCTTGGGTCGAGGGACATTGTCCAGAGTATAGAAGATGAACACCGCCTGTCCCGATGCCCTGAAGTGGAGAACATTCCAGAGGTCGTGCAGGAGGACGACCTTAATCTCAGTCCTCCCAACAGATTGAGGTAAGGTGCTCGAATCTCGCGCCATTGAAGATTCTGGTGCACATACATGCTGAGTACCCAATGTGTTTTGCAAGATCTTGTTATTATATGTGACAAATGGCCATTATTGCCTGTAAGTCATTAATCCCAGCCTAACAATGCATAATCCGGTCCACACAGTACTAAAGTCGGTCACATAAGACATGTGTTCTTCACAGGTGCAATCATCATAGCCAACATTAAGTGTGTGTCCCACTTTGATTTTGCTGGAGAAAGTGTGTGAGTTTGTATTTTTTGAGTGACACTTGCCAGACAACATCAGACATGGTCTTCACTTGTTGTTCGCTTGTGGTGAATTGAACCCTGGTCTTTGGCATGACCAGTGAATGCTTTCATTAAGAAGATAACTCAATTCTTTGATATTGCTGGAACGTTTATTAACGGGGCACACGTGCATAATCAGCTCAACTCTGTATAACTTGCTAATGATTCTTTCAAAATAAAATGGAAGCTTTTCAAACTTTGGACATTCAGAATATAGTTAGGCCGACTACTTATTGACTGACCCTCGTATGAAGTGAACCCAGGTCTACGGCATGACTAGCGAACACTTTCACCACCAGACTGACCAAAACCCAATTTAACAGAGTGTGTGTATGTTAACACCTAATGATTAATCTCACACAGGAGCACAAGATTCAACTCAAATCAAGTTTGTATGTTTCAGTCTAATGCGAGGCACAAATGCCACTACCAGTTCTCCAACAACTGAGAGAAATGAAACCCTCCCTTCACCATCATCCCCATCTCCTCCACCTCCTCCCCCGCCTCCCATCCTGGATGAGAGTGACTACCCCCTCACACCTCCGTCCAAGAACAAGAAGTCCTACATGCATGCGGCATCAACAGTGAGCAGCTCCAGCTCCGGCATCCCCAGCAACATCTCTACGCTGTCCACAACCAAGTCCGAGGACCAGGAAGACATCGACACAAAGAAGAAGGTCAAGGTTAGTTCATCAGGAAAGAGGTTAAAATTCAACATAGCATCAACATTGTCTCAGCTCCGTTGTCTTCGACCTCTAACCTGTGACCTCACAATAGCCCTGAGGTCAGGTGCCACATTTCATTGTTCAGAGTTGTTTCCCTTACACATGCCAGAAATCTTGTCTCATTTCAAATCTAGATATATGACAAGTGTTTGATTGGTATATATGACTTGTCTATGACAGGTATAAGATACTTATTATTCAAGTATATGACAGGTGAATTACACATATACAACCTGTATAAGAAGCTTTAAAGAACCTCACACTGCTTCCATGACCATATCTCGACATGCACAGGGAAGTAGTTATCATGCAAAGGGAGGTAACTGCATCTTGTTATTCATAGTATTGCAGCATTTCACTGCTGGGTTTGTTTGTTCGAGATGTGGCAATATTTTTTTTTCAAAAATGTAAACAAACAGAAGTATTCAGACTTTATCATTGTGTGCCTGAGAACCAAGACTATGTAATGTAATGTAATGTAATGTAATGTAATGTAATGTAATGTAATGTAATGTAATGTAATGAAATGAAATGTAGTAATGTAAATGTCAAGTATATGACACACAGACAACCTGTATTTTAAAGGAATATTTCACATACATGCCATGTATATATACCACATTCCACATTGATACAACAACAGGTATATCCTGTCTGTACTTGCAGCGCCACCCAGTGGACAGTTCCTACTACATCGCCAAGGAGCTGCTCATGACGGAGCGGGGACGTACAAGAAGGATCTGGAGCTCATCTGTGTGGTGAGTTACATCCAACAGGTCTCTCATCTTTCCACAGTGACAAGGGGTGGTGGGGTAGCCTAGTGGTTAAAGCGTTAGCTCGTCACGCCGAAGACCTGGGTTCGATTCCCCTCATTGGCAATGTGTGAAGCCCATTTCTGGTGTGCCCCGCCATGGTATTGCTGGAATATTGCTAAAACCATACTTATTCACTCACTCTACAGTGACAAGCTCCATACTCTATCTGGAAAGAGTCACAGGGAGCATATGGCCAATGAATGAATACATGTTTTAAGAATCTATAAAGTGTGTTCTTATATTTGCTTTGATGATATAAGTGCTGCATACAATGATGTCTGAAGATGCTTAGAGTTCCTGTGTTTGTATCTAGCAAAAGTCCAATGGAGGATGAAGTTAGTCATTTTTTTGTGCCAGAACATCTGGATTGTTGATGTGTGTTATTGTTTCAGTGGTTCCGCAACGCTCTCAGTGGCGACACGATGATCCTCAACTCCATGGTGGAGCTTGTATTCTCCTACCTCGACCCCATCTACGATTTCCATTGCAGCTTCCTCAAGGATGTGGACCAGAGACTCTCCATGTGGTCAGTTACTGTCATGTGTCATGATATAGCTGATATTTCCCTGATATAGCTGACATGTCTTGATATATGTCATATTTCCCTGATACAACAGATACATCCTAATACGGACAATATTCGTCTGATAAAACAGATACCCTGATCTGGCTCATATTTCCCTGATATAGCTGACATGTCTTGATATGTGTCATATTTCCCTGATACAACAGATACATCCTAATACAGACTGTATTCGTCTGATAAAACAGATACCTTGATCTGGCTCATATTTCCCTGATATAGCTCATATTTCCCAGATATAGCTCATATTTCCCAGATATAGCTCATATTTCACTGTATAGCTCATATTTTACCTGATATAGGTCCTATTTACCAGATATAGCTCATATTTCACTGTATAGCTCATATTTCCCTGATATAGCTCATATTTCCTTGATATAGCTTATATTTCACTGATATAGCTCATATTTCACTGTATAGCTCATATTTCCCTTGTATAGGCCCTATTTCCCTGAAATAGCTCATATTTCCCAGATATAGCTTATATTTCCCAGATATAGCTCATATTTCCTTGCTACAATAGATATGTCCTGTTTCCCAGATATATGTGTGATATATACTTGAGTATATTTCTGCCTCAGGGAGGGAAAGTCCAACGCTCACCAGAACGGGGACTACCAGAGAATCGGAGACATTGTCCTAAATGCTCTAGTCGTGGCGGAAGAGGTGAGGGTGTAACTTCTACATAGTACTTCAGATACGATGTTGTTTATCAATTAGTTGAAAAATCATTACATGCATTCTTTCCAACCTTGGCATCAGTTTCATGTAAACTTGGAAATTGTCAAGTGTACTGAGGTCATGTAATGTAGATTATTACGGGGTGGCATCTATTACTGGGTTCAAAGTGAAAGCCCATCGAAATGTCATGCCGCAGTTATAGTTAAAATAGACCCAGGACACAGCAACAGTGTACAGACTCCAAGACAATCAGTTTTGATTTCTTAATGCTGAGTGCCAGGCAGGGAAACATTAAGTACCATATTTAAATGATACGGCCGGGGATCAGATAACCAACCTTCCCCTCTCCTGACTTTTCCCACTAGATCATGGTGGCAGACACTTACGTGGAGTAGAAAATACATCCCTGTAGAAAATAGACTCTGTTTTAATTGTTTAACCTGTGTTGAAGATGAAGCTCACGTTTTAACTGAACTGTCTACATACACGTTTTACAAGTGATCTTCTAAAGCTTTGCAGTGTTAAATTTACTTTTTTTTACTGATTTTACAGCCCCTCAGCAACTTGCCCTTATTTTTACATGTGTAGAGTTTAGTTATATTTTAGCCAAAACCTGCTGTAATATTTTAGAACATAGACGCTTTTTAATGTACAAATAACTTTATGATGTGTTTCACACTTTTTTAATTTTTGTTTTTAATTTAAATACTTACGCCTGTTTACACTGTACAAAAGATTATCTTCTTATGTGTTGTAACATCTCTCATAAATCGCTTTGCGATTGGTTGCTTTTATATATTGTATCACTTATATGTATTATATTTGTGACGGTGAGATGTAAATAAACTAATCTGTCTGTCTGGAGTAGTTCCTTATAGAATGTACTTTATAACATGGAGGCATTACATTTTTTACAGTTTATTTGATCATGAAAAGTCACAAACAGCTCACAGTTTATGAGACACATTTTAGGAAAGAACTTGATGATATGTTGTTTTGAATGTGATGTAGGGTGCTAAAACTACCAAACTTGTTGCAGAATCTAATGTTTGTGGGCATAATTCAGGTAAACAATCGATTTTAATATGTTCATATCTGACCTCGGACCTCTTTTCCACAGCTGTATTGCAACTATCTGGATCGACAGGAGGAGATTCTGTCGGAGGTGGAGACCAAGATGAGGAGAAACAGGAAGTTTGAGGAGTTGTACAAGGACTTTGAAGCCCAGAAAGTGTGTTACCTCCCCTTGAATACATTCTTCCTGAAACCTGGTCAGAGGTTGTTACACTTCAAGCTGATATTAGAGAGTGAGTGGAAAATCACATGGCTGCATTTACCTATTAAACATGTTAATAAAATATTTAGATAGTTCTTCAGATCATTGAGTAGGATTTATATATATATGAACAAGCTACATGTTTTGATAATGTACGTTTGTGTGTTATCATCGTTGAAAATTTAATGTTTTGTTTGGAGAGTAGTCTCAAAGATATTAATAGTTGGTGATGAAATTATCATTTCGAATGAGTAATAATATTTATTTTTCCTTATCCTGACTCATGCTCTTTTGCTTGTCTTCTTCTTCTTGCGAACATAGTGGAACACTTGTATCTCCTTATTTGAAGCTCCCTTCAAAATAAAATCACTAATTGGTACTCACCACGAGTTGCTCCCCTTTGTCTCCCCTGGCGGGAAAAGGTGTCGCCACCCTCTGGCCATGTGCTCCACTCTCTCCTTCTTCGCCCAGTGAGCAGGATGTGAGAGCGCCTTGTGTCTCCTTACACACATATCCTTTGATAATCTCTTAGTTTTTACCTCTCATAGGTTACTATAGAGGTATAGCTAGTATCCTTTACTATTTGTATTGATTAATTATCATTATTTCTACTGTTTATTCACGTGTATTAAGTGATTGTTCAGCTAGCTACGTTCATGAAAATCTATGCGATTTGTAGATTACGTTTTCTGCCTCCGATCCACATGTAATATGCCCTAGTTGTTCTCGCGTGTGTATGCGTTTAATTCACGTTGCAGTTACTGCATTAATTTATCTCATTCTGCATTTAATAAATATCATCTTTGCGTCTTAAGGCGTGCTGCAGATAGATCACGCAAACAAGGGCAAAACATGGCAGGCGTGCTGCAGATAGATCACGCAAACAAGGGCAAAACATGGCAGAGAGTCCAGATATTCCTTCCAGTCAGCTGCTAGCGATCGACCCTCTCCGTCTGGTGTTCTGCTAGAGACCCCTGGCGGCAGAGAGCGTGGGGCTTGATCCGTTACCTCGAAGAAAGCGACCGGCCTCCCCAGACATCCCGTCATTGCAGACTAAGTCTAAGAGGGCCTCATCGTGCGTCTCAGCGCAGATTGAGGACACCCAGGGCAGCGCAGACTTCAAAGGGAAATCTCACGAAGACAGCAAGAACTTTCTCAGCGAGATCGTTCCAGCAGCAGAGTTGGGCCTCTCGATGATCAGCCGATAATCATCCCGACTTACGGCAGAAGAAGGCGACGGTGTCAGCGACTGTGACTTCTGCAGAGATCTCCATGCAGCCTGATGCCTCTACACCCGGCGTCAGGCGTCATTGATGTGAACCCCATCGCAGAAAAAGGCGCCGGCGACTTCGTCACAGATCATCCCAGAAGACATGATCGGCAGATTATGAACATCATGGAGGACCACTACAAACTGCGCAAGCGAAGTCGAGCAACCAGCGAAGGCTCCAGCGTGAACAGCACCCCAGAGGCACCCCGTCAGCGTAGCAGCCAAGGCGATGTCACCTTCGGCGAAGGAAGTCCGCACCACCTTGGCGAAGGACCTAGATGTACAGCCGGCGAAGGCCTTCGGTGGCGGGAGAGATCATCACCATCTTCGATTTCATCTCTAGATATGGACTCAGACCATCAGACATCCGCGGAAGCGCCGCGAAGGTCATATCATCGATCCCCGGACGGGACGCAAATGAAGAAGGCGAAGGCATTCGCGAAAGACATATGATTCCAGATCTTCATCGTCTAGAAGAACATCGAGGGACTGCCGAAGAGCTTCGGCGAAGCTATCAACATTCACCTCACAAGTCTCGAGAAGATCATCCCATAGGCGATCTCCACTCCGTTCATCACCAGGTCGATCACCCATCAGATCTCCACATAGAAGCGGCGCACAAGTCAACTAGATGCATACAAACCTCATCAGATATTCAGACAGCTACGCGCGGTCGAAGAGCATCTACAATTTATTAATGATGATGGTTTGAGGGATGATGGAGGAATCATATTTTCTGATGCAGAGATACGGTATTGGATGGTCAATAACCTAGATCTCACATCACCATCTAAAAGTGGCAATACAGCTCAGGCGTATTTGATGAAGGAAGATGATCCAGATGCAATCACTCTACCCCGATCGACCCGATTGCGGCAGTGCCACAGAATCTAGATGCAGCTTTCCAGAAAGCTACGAAAGTTCAGATACCACATCTACCCAACTTTCAAGCCAAGAAGTTCTCCACGCATAACATGGACTCCTTCTACAAGGCCCAAGACATCGATGAGAACTATAAGATCATCAGCGATGTAAAGAACAAGATTTACAAGATGGATGATGTATAAGTTGGCTCATATAGAAACCATGGCGAGGCATTATGTTCTTTGGGTTAAATAGATCTAGGGCGATCAATGAGACTCTTATTACTAGATTCGGGATTCCACGGAAGATGATAGAATGATTTATTCTGCCTTACTTATGCAAAGAAAGATCAGCAGTTTTAACGGATCATCTTACATCTGTTTCAGCAGCACTGACCTTAGCTCGTCGTCAAGGCCTCCTAAGCCTCCTGTAATTGGGGAGAACTTTACAGCCCCACTTTATACAGCCCGTGGTCGACAACATCCATCTTTGGCCCGGAGAAATCGACAAGATTCGCCAAGGAAGTCTCTAAGGATTCCAGGGGAAGTCCTTATGATTAGATCGATGGACACACTAGCCAGCGTCATTCGATCAGACTTCACAAAGATACTCAGGCAGATCTAAGTTCACGGGCCTACAAAAGAGCAGAGAGACAGGAAGATAGCCAGCTCTAGAGGTAAAGATTCTTTTCGTGCGCCCATATGGCAACTATAGAGGAGGATCAGGAAGAGGCAGGACACCCAGAGGTTCCGCAATTATAGGCGCTGAAACACAGGTTTGGGAACGACTGGAGTCTTCCACCCCAGCCGTTCCAGTACAACCAGCTCAAGTGGGTGGGCGCCTCCAACTACACTGGGAAAACTGGGGAATACTGCAAGATCCTTACGTCTCCAACATTATTCAACACAGATTTCGTATCCCTCTACAGGACAAGCCTCGCTGACAATCAAACCCCCAAGTTCGATTTACAAAGCAACAACTACCAAAGATAAAGAGGCTGTCTCATCACTCCTATCCAAACAGGCCATAGAAGTAATAGATCAAGCAAGCGTCGAACCAGGTTTCTACTCCCCAGTTTTCCTAGTTCCCAAGAAAAACTCCGCGGAGAAATACAGACTCATCTACAACATGAGCTTTTCAACAAGAACTATCTCGCCAAACCACGAAGTTTCGCATGATACATTTACCTCAGTTACGCCAGATGATTAGATCCTTTGGACTACATGGGCAGCATAGATCTACAGGATGCCTACTTGCACATCCCCATTCATCGATTCCAGGAAATACCTACGATTTACTCTAGAAGGGCTACATTACCAGTGGAAAGTACTCCCATTGAATATCATCAGCCCCTGGCTATTCACGAGGATAGCGAAACCCGATTATCAAATTTCTACATCGTCAAAGGGCTCGCAGTCGCGTTTTTACCTCGACGGCCGGGATACAAGTAGATCAAGATCCACCGTCTCAAACTACAGTTAAATTACATCATAAAGCTACTAACACAACTAGGTTGGTTAGTAAAACTTCATAAGTCGGACCTAGTACCATCGCCAAAGACCTACAGTTCCTAGGTATTCGATTCATCACAAATCGCAACCGTATTATGGTACCAGAAGACCGTTGGCTCAAGATACAACAGACCATTCCACCAGCTCTACTCTCTCCGTTACCACTGCGACAATGGCAGAGCCTACTAGGTCTCTCACATCAGCCCAAGACATGACTGTCACAGGCAGATTACAGTTTCGTCCCCTACAGGTCCTCATCAGCGCACATCTCAGCGATGTACAACCATTCAGTCTACGAAGCATCTCAGACCACATCTACTATGGTGGACCAAGAAATCGAATGTCTGCGAAGGGATTTGTTTAGCAGAGCAGGAATACAAAACCCATCTGTATGTAGAGCGTCACTCCAAGGTTGGGGAGCTCATCTCACCAACCACACGATATCAGGGTTATGGAATCAGCAAGAATGCAAACTCCATATAAACAGTCTAGAAATGAAAGCTGTAATCAACGCCATTCTACATTGGAGCACATTTCTACAAAATCTCATGGCGCCTAATGATCCATACAGACAATTCGACAGTGGCGTTCTACATAAACAAGCAAGGCTCAGCGAGATCGATGAACCTTTTGAACCTAAGCTTTCAACTGTTGCGATTTAATACAAGATCTAAATCTACATGTCAGAGCAGTGCACATTCGAGCCAGAAATATACTAGCAGCGCTCTCTCTCGGCCTCATCTACCATCACCGACAGAGTGGATGATCAACCGGAAATTTTGCACAGATAATCAAGCAATTAGGGCGGGCTGATAGACCTATTCACCACAGCGATTCAACAATCAGCTACCGACATTCGTGTCACCAGTCCCAGACCCCAAGCTTGGGCAACGGACTCTCTAAGTCTATCATGGGAAGGCCTCAATCGTCTGCAGCGTTTCCGCCGCCAGCAATAATACCTCAAGTATTACAGAAAATCAGACAAACACAGAGCCTACAACTCACTTTGGTGCGGCCTACTGGTCGACCAGAGCGAATGTTTCCCATACTAATTCAAGAAATCGGTCAACCAACACTGGAGCTACCCTGGCGCCAAACCTGTTAATTCATCCTCACACCAAACAAGTGCACGCGAAACCCAGCAATGTTCCAACTGCGTATGGACTGTATACAAATGTGTTTAAACAAGAGAGGATATTCTGCCAGGCGGCAAAAGCAGTCACGCTTGCCTTACGTTACTCAACTCAGTGGCTTATGCGACGACAAGTGGCACAGTTTGAAAATTATGCAACAAAGAAAGGGTTTACAGCAAGAGAGGCTTCACAACCTCAAGTGGCAGACTATTTGTGTTACCTCACGCCAAAACAAACATTTTAAAAGGTTCAACGATATCAACATATCTTGCCAGCTTAGCTCTGTAATCACCATGAGAGCGGGTGTCAAATTGACAAGATCTCCAGAGTTACTGGCCTTACTCTGAGCTTTCGATTGAGGACCAAAAAAGCGGAAGTTCCACGCCCAGCTTGGGATCTGAATATAGTGTTACAACACCTCACGAGTGAGGTCTATGAACCCTTGGAATCGCACAAACTTTGAATTTCTCTCACAGAAAACATTGTTTCTGCTATCGCTAGCCACAGCAGCAAGAATGTCTGAAATTCAGCTCTGGATTACGAGAGGATACAGTTTGATGACAATCATAACACAGCGCACCTCCGGATTAAGATGGGATTTCATTGCAAAGAATCAACTGCCAGGTCAACCAGACAGATTATTCCACATCCCGGCGCTATCCTCTATTCTCGGATCACAAGATACACAAGACCTATCACTGTGTCGGTAAGAGCTCAAAGTTTATTCTGACGATCCAAAAAACAAGGAGAAGATTTCTCAAGCGTTTATTCATCCCATTATAAGCCTCGAATCAAACAGAAGTGTCACGGACCACAATATCTATTTGGATAAGGACTGTCATTCTCCGTGCCTACAAGGCAGCAGGCTTGGACCCACCAACAGCATCAAATCCACATGAGATCAGGGCACTGGCCTCTACCCTCGCCTCTACACGGTAACTGTTCCTTGAACACGATTATGGAAGGATGCTATTGGAAATCTAACATGGTATTTGCTAATCACTACCTAAGAGACATCACTACAGAAGATGTCTCTGGCATTCACCATTTCGGACCACTGGTCCTGGCTCAACAACTGACAGTCCCTCGTGAGCGTTAAAATATTAGCCTCACAAGATTAATATGTATTTTATACATACTCATCTAGCTTATAACTCTAAGGAGTTTTAGGGCTATGTATATATGTTCAGCTTAAGTATTCTACCTTAAGCATATACTTGGATATAGTCAATTTCAGTGCCTCTATCAGAGTCACCTATATATATATATATATAATTTATATGTATTGTTCAATATATTCATAATGTAATTCCTTTAATGGCTTTATATAACCTATGGTTTTTTTATACAGGAAACATCCTAAATCTAAGACTTCATGAAGTTCCGTAGGGATATTACAGTATATCTATACAAAATCACTAATTATAAATCCAAAGTATTCTGTTACCCACCTCCGTTCCATTAGGATGCCACAAGCAAAGAGCATGAGTCAGGATAAGGAAAAATATGTAATTTTTAGAGTAAAATTGATATTTTATACTTATCCTGACTCATGAGGTTAACCCTCCCATCCTCCCCACATAACACTTTGGATTTCCCTGTAAATTCAAGTGTTGGGCTCGCTAAATCAGGAGAGAGTGGAGCACATGGCCAGAGGGTGGCGACACCTTTTCCCGCCAGGGGAGACAAAGGGGAGCAACTCGTGGTGAGTACCAATTAGTGATTTTATTTTGAAGGGAGCTTCAAATAAGGAGATACAAGTGTTCCACTATGTTCGCAAGAAGAAGAAGACAAGCAAAAGAGCATGAGTCAGGATAAGTATAAAATATCAATTTTACTCTAAAAATTACATATTTCAAGAACTGAAATGAAAGTTAGGTCATGTACGTGTTTGAAGCTCTCATAAAATATCCCATTTATCCCATTTCATTGGAAGTGTGAACCGCATCTGTGGTGTAGTGGTTAGAGCGTCCGCCCGGAGAGCGTAAGGTCGCGGGTTCGATCCCCGGCCAAGTCATACCAAAAGACGTTAAAATATGGTACTTGTTGGTCCCTGCCTGGCGCTCGGCATTAATGGGTACAACAAGGACTGATCGGCCCGGAGTCAGTATAATGTGTCTGAGTGGGGTATTCATGCTTCACTGTGGCATGGTATCTCAGTGGGCTAGCACTATAAAACCAGCTTAAGTCTGGGCTAGTACAAGCAGCCGCACATACACATACACACGCATGCACGTTGTCATATGAGCGAAATATCCTCAAGCACTATGTTAAACCCAATTTCACCTCACCTCACCTCATTGAATGTGTGATAACACAGCATGAAAAGCCTTCCTCTTGGGAATTATTGCATGTTATACAATGTTGAATTTTACTTATGTTTCAGAGCTAGTGAAGCACTATTCACTGAACCATGCCGATTTAGATGACTGTACAGGTGAGTTGTGAACTCAGTAGTGAAGCATCGTGACAATAAATTGTATGTAGTACTGTTGTAAATATGTATGAATGTTCACTTTAGTTAAAGCCTACCGAAAATTATTCCTTGGCACATGATTATAGAGTTAAACATGCTAGTATTTCATGATAGTGCTCCATTCAGTGAATTAAGTAAGGATTTATTTGTTGTCAACAGAAGCTTTAGCCAAAGTCACGGAAGTAACAACATCATACAAGGACAAGTTGAAGCGAGTGGTGAGTTACTGCTTGAAAACTGTTTAATGCCTTAAAATGTCTAAAATGTTTTGTAATTATTGATGCAATTTTTTCATAGATGTAATCTTTCAAATAAATTACTCACAACCAGGTCAGAAAAAGCCCCAGTATGTTGCGACACTCATTGAGTTGGTCAGTTTGGATGTCATTATACCTCACCTGCGTTGTGTGCATTGTTGCTTGTATCAGTCACAGGATCGTCTGACCAGGACATACGGACAACAGGAAGACTACTGTGTGTCTGTAACAACCATTGTCTGAGTAGATAGAGAATCTCACCAGAGTGTCTGCTGATATCAATTATATCAACACAAGTTGATAAAGTTACAAATTTCCGAGCCTTGCCCAATAATATTTTTAGTTTTATCAGCAAGTGTTGATATAATAGATATCAATGGACACAAGGGTGAGATTCTATTTATCATCAAAAATCACGCTTCATTAGTTTTCAATGAAAAATGTGCATCTCTGAACATGGTACTGCCATTAGACTTGCAGTGCAGCGATGTCATAGCATTGTGACATCATCAGGTTCATGACATCATAGCATTGTCAGAGCATTGTATAAAATCTACTGTCAAAACGATATTTGTTAGGAGATATCGTATGATCTCACACAAGCAATATCTCCTTCAGAACAGTTTTAGATGATAAAATGACAAGCTGCACAGAGTTGCGTCCCTTTGATGCTACGATCTGCTAGTTAAGATTCTCACTCCTATTGGGAACATTTTAGTCTCCTGGTTTTTGAAGCTCAAATAAAACGTAATATTATTTTAATGAATTCTATCAGAAATGAGTATTTCTTATGTGTACATTTACCAGAATTACAGCTATTATTTTATGTATTTTGTGTTTTTTCCAGGAAAACCTTCAGAAGATGATAGAACTACAGCGTGACCTTGTTGGAATAGAGAACGTAGTCAATGCCGACAGGGTGAGTGGTCAGGGGTCACAGACATATACTGATGGGAAGAAATAAAGGAACAGATAAGATAAATATCCTTCCTTGTCCAATGAGAGGCAAAACGACTCGGGCATCTCAGCAAACAGACTACCCTGAGTAGAGTTGCATCCCTTAGGCATACTTAATCAATGATTTACATCCAAGATGCACCTGATGGTGTCAACAACATATCTGTACTAAACAGGCATCTGAAACATGCAGTCACTTTCCTCTTGCATCGAACCGACACGCATGATGTAACTGAAATACTGCTTAATGCAGCGATAAATCAAACTCACTCACTCAGTTCACTGTTTTATTCCATCAATAAATTTAAGTATTTTGTATTTTATCATATAGAGACAAGCAACTTATTTACTCAATTGACATGAAAAATACAATTCTGTGTCTGTGGGAGAACACACGTACACATGCGCGCACACACACACACTAATGCTTAACATACATGCACACGCACATGTATATGTACACACACACATGTTCTCATGCACAAACACACACATCTGCATGCACACGTATACACCTCGCTATGTTATAGCAATAATCTGTAACAGGAAGTTAGGCTAGTTTCATCTTTACAAAGGGCTAATATCAAATCATGAAGTCTGAAACGTATATTAATGCATATGTGTGTGTTTGTATGCTCCCCAGGGAGTTGAGATTGATAATATGACGTGCCGTTGAAATTGACATCCAGTGATCGAGGGAAAAACAAAGCGCCTTTGAGCAGCTGAGCTGGATATTGGCGCTATACAAATGTTAGTATGTATGTATATTATTTATTGTAGGACTTCATCCGTGAGGGTTGCCTTCAGAAGTTTTCTCGGAAGGGTTACCAACAGAGGATGTTTTTCTTGGTGAGTTGTTTCACATTGGGTCTTATGATGAGTTATATGTGAGTTCCATGTTTCACCAACAAACAGTTTACCCTGCAACTAACCATAGGGTCAGTTTTCAAAAGAAGATTAAGTGAACATGATTTTAGAATTATTTTGTGCAAGTTTTATCTGTGGATAAAGTAAGGAAAACGTGGAAAAGCTTATTTTAGTGACGAATTAAATAGTTTATAATCTTTTTTTTTCAATAATATTATTTATTCCTTATAATGAAATTTTGCATCGAGGTAACCAAACGGAAAAGAGAGGACTCACAGTAAGAGAGTCATCTATACTGACTGATTGTACAACTGATGTACCTTGTGCTGTGTGCTCTGTTCTCTAGTGACCTGTGAAGGTCCGGGTTAGAATGAACCTTCAGTAACCCATGCTTGTCGTAAGAGGCGACTAACGGGATCGGGTGGTCAGACTCGCTGGCTGGGTTGACACATGTCATCAGTTCCCAATTGCGCAGGTCGATGCTCATGCTGTTGATCCCTGGATTGTCAGGTCCAGACTCGATTATTTACAGACCACCACCATATAGCTGGAATATTGCAGAGTGCAACGTAAAACTAAACTCACTCACTCACTCTGTTCTCTAGTTCTCCGATATGCTAGTCTACACCAGTCGGACAGCGACATCGCTGCTGCAGTTCAAGGTCCATGGGCAGCTGCCGTTGAGGGGGATGATTGTAAGTGTTGAATGACATAGTACCACTACCAATAAGACCCAAGTTTAGTGATGACTCCCTATCCAACATCCCCATAAAGTGATGTCATAAAACTATCCTCTTGCCTTTTCAGGATTTAGTGTAGTTATACCACTATTTACCGTCTCAGTTCAGGATTTATTTAGAAGATAAACATCATGTGTTGGCAAATTTCTGGGTGTTATTGAGTATTTGAAGCACGGGAATTCATTTGGAACGGCGTCAGCCGGAGGTTTAAAATGAGGTTTAAAATGAAATATTCCTGTGCTTCAAATACTCAATAACACCCGGAAATTCGCCAACACATGATGTTTATCGACATTGTAAACACAAAAGTAAACCGAAAGGTCCACACGTTTTTTGTGTCTGCTCTCATTGACATCGAGTACGGGTACAGCAGTGAAATGTCATCAGCCGGCCGTTTCGGCTGTCTCCCATGGTAGCATCTGGAACTGCTCATTTGTGACGTCATTCGGACTTTACGTCACAATATGATTTTAATGACGTCATCACAGCTGACGACGTAACAATACAATGGTGTGAGCAATGTTTGTATGTGTTAATACGCAGAGAATTTCCGGGAATCAAATACCATTTGATCACGTTTTTCAACCAATCAGATTAAAGAACAGTGACTTTTGGTTTACAATGATGCTTTACTGCTGTCCACCAGTCTCTTCAGTGTATACTGATGACTATTAAAAATCTCACTTAATCACTCACTCACTCACTCACTTCCCCCAGACTCAATCAACCAGGAGTCTTTATGTTGATGATGATGATGATGATGATGATGATGTTGCAGGTGGAGGAGACAGACCAGGGCAAGGTTGCTGTACAGAACTGTTTTGCCATCTACGCCGGCAACAAATACATCCTTGTGGCAGCCAGGTGAGCTAAATCTGAGATGTAAGACTGGCAGATTGGGTGTGACAGGGGCGTTGTGGCAGCCAGGTGAGCTACATCTGAGATGTAAGACTGGCAGATTGGGTGTGATAGGGGCGGTGTGGCAGCCAGGTGAGCTAAATCTGAGAAGTAAGACTGGCAGATTGGGTGAGTGAGTGAGTTAATATTTAACGTCACATCGGCAATATTTCAGCCATATTGTGACGAGGGCAGATTGGGATAAGGGCAGTGTGGCAGGCAGGTGAGCTACATCTGAGATGTAAGACTGGCAGATATGGTGTGACAGGGGCGGTGTGGCAGCCAGGTGAGCTAAATCTGAGATGTAAGACTGGCAGATTGGGTGTGACAGGGGCGGTGTGGCAGCCAGGTGAGCTAAATCTGAGATGTAAGACTGGCAGATTGGGTGTGACAGGGGCGGTGTGGCAGCCAGGTGAGCTAAATCTGAGATGTAAGACTGGCAGATTGGGTGTGACAGGGGCAGTGTGGCAGCCAGGTGAGCTAAATCTGAGATGTAAGACTGGCAGATTGGGTGTGACAGGGGCGGTGTGGCAGCCAGGTGAGCTAAATCTGAGATGTAAGACTGGCAGATTGGGTGTGATAGGGGCGGTGGGGAAGCCAAATGGTTAAAGCGTCCGCTCGAAATGCGCTCGTCATGCTGAAAACCCAGGATCTAATCCCCACATGGGTACAATGTTTGAAGCCCATTTCTGATGTCCCCCAATGTGATATTGCTGGAATATTGCTGAAAGCGGCTTAAAACAATACTCACTCACTCACTCACTCAAAGACTCACTCAAAGACTCACTCCTAACTCACACACACTCTATGCCACGGACTCGCATGCATCAATCATCACCCTGTGATGAAAGAAGAGATTGGTGCGACCAGTTTCTCCGCAGACGCAGATATGAACAGGCTGATTGTGTTCAGTCATACTCTGTGGTATTGGCTGTTGCTTACTGCCAGTATTTAATTGTTTACAAACCACTGTCCCCAAAAAATGCTTATTTGGTGACATAGAGACATTTACAGCAACATGGAACAACATTCACTCACTCACTCACTACATATTTACCCAGGAGTGACACTCACTGGGGTAGTCCAGTGGTTAAAGTGTTCGCTCATCACGCCGAAAACCTGGGTTCGATTCCCCATACGGGTACAATATGTGAAGCCCATTTCTGGTGTCACAGAAATCACTAATTGTTTCCGTATTTACCTAAGAGTGTCACTCAGGTCACTCACTCACTCATCTAAGTTAACCACATTGATTGTTTTGTGACAGTTGTCAAGAAGAGAAGGACAAGTGGATTGAGGACCTGAACGAAGCCATTTTACAGTTCAAATCCAGGACGGACGACAAGTTGCAGTACGCCAGTCTCAAGTCCAGTGCAAGTGAGTATACACAATATAGACCCAATATCACCTGCTGCTGATAACACCTGACATATTGCCTCTGTATCTCCTGAAATAGTGCTAGAGAAATAAAGGGTCCAGTGCTAAAAAATGTGCAGAATTTGCGCTAAAAAATATTGTACATCCCAAAAGAGAATAATGAAATTTATGTAAATGAGGATACTAGAAAAAATATTCTTTAATGAAATGATATCGTATATTGCTACAAAATATACAAGTACAAAATGACATTTATCTTTGATGCTATTGAATATATATAGTTAACAGATTCTTCTTAGTGGTTCGGGGCGGTGGGGTAGTCTCGTGGTTAAAGCGTCCGCTCGTCACGCCGAAGACCCGGGTTCGAATCCCAACATGGGCACAATGTGTGAAGCCAATTTCTGGTGTCCCCCGCCGTGATATTGCTGGAATATTGCTAAAAGCGGCGTAAAACCATACTTACTCACTTACTCTTAGTGGTTCAACTTCATCTTCCTGATTCAGTAAGGAGAGTATGAGAGCTGGATGCTATTCTAAACTTCTCTAATTGTGTTATAAACAACCAGTTCCCTCTATTTAAGATTGATTAAATTGCAGGATTTTGATGTTATTATTGCACAGAGGTATAGAAAATAACTGCTTTGGGAAGTGTGTGAAATCAAAAACATATAACAGAAATAGACTTTACTCACACATGTTTATATAGATGCCGAGTAAACAACATAGTGTAACAAATGTATTATGGGTTGTGCTTTCTCGTACAAATTCTAGAATTCTAGAAAGCATTCCAAATGACACTCAACTCAATATTCTGGAATTTGTGTATTAAAGACCCAGTGTAAATCGCTGGTGTAGATCTCGTTCAATGTTGACATTGATGTAAACACTGTCTGACGCAGGTTCTACAGAGAACATGGATGGCACAGAAAACCACACAGATGGAGAAAACGCCACGTCGCCATCATCCCCCGAGAAAACCATCCAGCATCGAGCCAACACCACTATGCACGTCTGCTGGCATCGTAACACCAGCGTGAGCCAGCGGGACCATCAGAAGGCAGTCAAAGTACGTAGACCTGTCGGAGTTACCGACTTCCCGTCCTGGGTAGTCACGTGATATATTGATGACAGACTTTGTGGTTACACTGCCAGTTGTTCACATGTCCTTCTTGCTATGCATTCTTTCACTCGGCCTGTTTCATGTTTTATTGAAGATCATTGTATACCGGTACATATACATAGTTTCTGCTAGAGCTACCAGTGAAGATGCAGGTTAGAATTGATCTTTAGCTACCTATGCTTGTCGTAAGAGGCGGGTGGTCAGGCTCGCCAACTTGGCTGGCACATGTCATGGTATCCCAATTGCGTTGATCGATACTGTTGATAACTGGATTGTCTGGTCCAGACTCGATTATTTACAGACTGACGTCATATAGTTGGAATATTGCTGAGTGCAGTGTTAAATAACAACCAAACAAAAGTAAACTAATACCCAGTTTGACATTTTGCACTGTCTGTAGTGACCTACAGTGGGTACCCAGGTATAGTTGGATAATAGCGGTAGTAGATGTGGTACTTTGGATTCTTTCCAGTCCACTGTATACTAGTATATTCCAACCTTGCCATGTTTGCTGTTATCATGTGACCAGTCTAATGATGAGTGAGTCACTGGTTTTTGTCTATCTTCAGAACCAGCTCAGCGGCTATCTACTGCGAAAGTTCAAGAACAGCAATGGATGGCAGAAGCTGTGGGTCGTCTTCACAAACTTTTGTCTCTTCTTCTACAAGACGTACCAGGTGAGTTTAGTCACAAGCTTGGAGAAATCCGTGCACACAAAATGGTGATGTCACAATTTGATGCTCACACCAACACATAGAAACTATTGTATGTTAACCTTTGTATTAATTTCTCTATTTTGCACACAATCAGTATATACACTGAACATTTCTTCATCAGATTATTCTGAAAACAGCAGCTATTTCGAAATGTTTTGTAAATTTAAGGGACCGTTCATAATTTATGGCTAGGGGGGTGATGATGATTTTTATGGAGAAGCATGTACAATGTGAATGACCCCCCCCTAAAATTTGTGTACAAAAAAAGTGACCCCCTGCTTGTCATGTACAAAATCAATGACCCCCCCTCCCCTTCCCTTAATTTCTAAGCATAATTTTAAACATATTCTTATGTACAAAATTGCTGACCCCCCTAGTAGTACGTGTGTACAAAATTGCTGAACACCCCCCCCTCTCCAGAACAAATGGGTGACCTCCCTTAAAATCATCATCATCACACACACACACACACACACACACACACACACACACACACACACACACACACACACACACACCTAGCCATATATTATGAACGGTCCCTAAATTGTCTTTTTTTTGTTTTACACTGACATTTCATAGCTCATGTGTCGTATTTCACAGGATGACTTTCCGCTGGCGAGTCTTCCGTTGCTAGGATACGCAGTGAACACACCCGAAGAAGAGGATGGGATTCATAAAGACCATGTGTTTAAGTTGCAGTTCAAAAACCATGTCTACTTCTTCCGCGCCGAGAGCGAGTATACGTTTGCAAGGTATGCCTGCATACACTTGGTTTTCTTCTGTTAATTCAAAACTCCTATTAAAACAAATACATTCCAGTATTCTTGCCTTGATATCAAAAGTGTTTTGTTCATGAATTCCTTTCCTATACCCAAATCCCTTTGTTTGTCCATGTAATTCCCGAATCATCGGGAGTTTGGATAGTATTCTTGACTTGATTCATGATGATGCATGCTCCTAGTTCCTGTCCTGTGAATACCGGGGGCGGTGGGGTAGTCTAATGGTTAAAGCGTTCGCTCGTCACGTCGAAGACCCGGGTTCGAATCCCCACATGGGTACAATGTGTGAAGCCCATTTCTGGTGTCCCCCGCCTTGATATTGCTGCAATATTGCTAAAAGCAGCATAAAACTACTCACTCACTCACTCACTCACTCCTGTATATACAATGTATATTGTGATGATGTCTTTCATATAGTACTGCAGAAATGTTTATAACCCTGACCTTAAAAGATTTCATTTTGATATTTGTAATTCATCAAAAATTATCACAACTTACTGCTCTTGAACTCATGAAATTTGTTCAGCCAATAACTTTACAATTATATATTAGATGTATTTCAGATTTGCATAATGACTTCTTTGTTTATAGGAAAGGTGCGGTGCAGAGTTGGATACAAAATTTGTCAAGAATTAGCCATTATTAATTTTTTGTTCAGCAGAAGTTGGGAATCCTGGTCTGGTTGTTAGTGAGGTGAAATTAGGTTTAACGTCGTGCTTGAGAATATTTCGCTCATATGACGATGTGCATGCGTGTGTATGTGTATGTGCGGCTGCTTGTACTAGCCCAGACTTAAGCTGGTTTTATAGTGCTAGCCCACTGAGATACCATGCCGCAGTGAAGCATGATTATCCCACTCAGACACATTATACTGACTCCGAAACAACCAGTCCTTGTTGTACCCATTAATGCCGAGCGCCAGGCAGGGACCAACAAGTACCATATTTTAACGTCTTTTGGTATGACGCGGTCGGGGATCGAACCCGCGACCTTCCGCTCTCCGGGCGAACGCTGTAACCACTACACCACGGAGGCGGTCTGGTTGTTTGTGAGTCATGCTCACTTGTTTGTTTGTTTATTAGTATTGCCACAGCGTTAACAGCAATGTTCCGTTGTTTATTAGTATTGCCACAGCGTTAACAGCAATGTTCCGTTGTCTCTGCAGATGGATGGAAGTGATCAACAGCGCAACCAACAGCTCGCGTCGAGTCCGTCTCTTCAGTCGCCTTGACTCGAAGATGGAGGTGGACACGCCTTGAACATAGTGCCATAGAGTTATCTCCCTTATACAGGCTGTTCTGTTGATGTTTCAGAGAATTAATTTGTGTAGCCAATCTGTTGATTGTACCATATTGTATATAACCCTTGGAAAGCTGTACCTGAAGGGGCGCTGACAATTTGATTACATGTTCGCATCTGGAAATGTTACGATATGAACAAATGTATGTGGAAGTATTGAGGAGAGTGGGTTTTTAGGTCTAATGACTCCATGCAGATATTGACAGATTTAATGGCAGAAAACAGTTTGTAAGCAGTTATTATGTGGAACATTTGAGTTAAAATGTGAAAATGATTTTGAGTACTGACACAATGGGCTGTCTTTCAAGACTGAAAAGTGCTTTCTACTGTGTGACTGTGTGAAGCCCTTTACTATTTTTAGCATTTATACCAGTCTGACAACAACGAAAATTCTGCAGCTGGAAAACTTTAGAAATCTCATGTCCATCTTAATCAAGTGAGACAATATCATTGTTTTACAAAGTAATGTCCGGATACTAACAGTCTTTTAATGATACCAGTCCCCCTAAAAATCATATGTCAAGCAATACATTCATTTCACGAATGAATTGTAGCAGATTTAGATTTAGAGAGTCATGTTTTTAAGTCGGTGCTGATTAATATGTCTTGGAAACATTGTGATACAACAAACTGTCAAACTGAATTTAAAGATTTTACATTCTCTAAACAGAGACCATGTTTCACGTAGAAACAAAACAAAGGTTTCATCAAGCGAAAAATATTTTAAACTCCACTCTTCTTGTCAGCTAATTTGCACATACTACTCAATCTTTAATAGGGATTATCGTTCAGTCTATTAAAATTACACTTGACATTTGAGAATCAGTTTTGTGTAACGTGGAAAGATTAAATATCCCTATCAATGGTTGATAATCATATGATGTTGATCAGTGTCATAATAAACTGATACCTCAAAGACAACAGCTCACAACAAGGGGCGTGTTCCACGAAACAATCCCGGCGTGACAGCTGTCACATGTCTGTCATCGAATGAGACCTATGACAGTCATAGCTTAGATCTCTGGAATGGAACTGTCCCTTGATGTGAGCTGCAGACAGTGGAACCTACCATATTTCTTCAAATAAACATTGATTAAACACTCTTTTGCATGGAATCCTCCATATTATCAGCTCTGCTTTTAAAACCCAGTGGTAAAGATTGTCTTGAAGAAATTTATGGCTGTGTGATTAATTGAGGAAATATGGTGGTTTATTTTGAAATAGAAGAAGGAGGTAGCTAAAAAAGTTAAGTTATTTCAATGAATCTAGTATGCAGGAGACAATTGGGTAAGAATGTTGGACAATTCCCAATACTGCTTAGGTCACCTCTTCAAGACATTCATATTATAAAACCTGGATTTCTTTTAATTATTTGTTAAAGTCTGTATATATTCACAGAAAAATTTGTTCGTTTAATTATAACAATATTTAAAATTTTAATCATATAAAAGCAACAAAAAGATTCCATAATCAAATTTTCTACCACAAGCAGAGTCCATTTGTGACCATATCATTACCACCGGTTGACCAAACTATTCATGAAACATGCATTTAATAAATAGTTTCCAAGATTAATCTTAATCTGTATTGCTTCAGCATTTAACAAATTACATGTAACATTTGTACAAATAAATCAATTGTAGAGGTAGTTCTAAAACAGCTGTTGTCAGCAATATGTAGGGACAGGTTGTTTACATAAGTTGAAATAATAATTTGTGACTATTTATTCAGTAGTTTAGTTTGTAATTATTTCAGTAGGAGCTTTAATAAAAACAGCTGAAACCTTGAAACAAGTAATTAAGTGCTTCCAAATATTGCAGTGTGATAGCTTTAACCATTTATTTGTTAATTCCAAAAATTCATCAAAGTCATAATTTTCCATATAGGTGCAATAAACAAAATGATGTTAGTCCGTATATGCCAAACTAACCTGAGAGGGATCAAAACATTTTCAAAATTGACTTGTCAATATTATTAGTATGAGTTGTGTACAGATGGTCATAGAGTTGTTAATTTATTTCTCCCTTTTTTTTTCAAATTAAATCAAAATATTTATTTTTCACTTTATTACTTCACCTGTTGTTAGTTTCCTAATAAGGCAGTGAGAGTTATCATTGTCATAATGGTAAAGGGCCACTTCAGTGACAGATGTCAGAGTTATCTCCTTTGTTTCTTGTATAAGAGTGATTTCCCTTGTGTATGAGAGTGATCTCCCTTGTGTATAAGAGTGATCTCCCTTGTTGTGTATGATGGTCAAGATAACCAAAACTTCCTTCTTTCCAATACTGCACAGAACCAAGAATTTGATTCAGATCATATTATTTTATATGAACTGTGGACTTCCCTGTCAAATTTATGTAGAACTTTCAGTTTGTGTATCAAATGTTTTTTTACCACAAGTTGGTATTCTGTCAGTTGCTTCAAATATTTCTTTGACAGTCAGATATATAAGCAGTTATACATGTATATTAAGCTGTTGTAAATGTTTTCCTTATTTTTTTCTATTAAAGAATTACATTAATTAATATAAGTACAATGTTACCATGGTTATTGCACTTAGGGGCTGTGTCATAAACTTTAATGCCATTTTCAGCGGAAGTATCTATCTAATGGCTGGGTCCACCTTTCTATGTGGGTGTGTTTGTTTATCTCTGCTTGTCTAGACATCTGTTTATAATGTTAGTCATAAATCATATTAACGTCAAATCAAGTACCTTATACAATGTAATTATAATTGTTCTATAAAATTAACCTAAATGACAGTGAAGTTTGTTGAAGGTTGGTTTTTTTCATGAATACTGTCATGAAAATTCAATGAATATGTTTGGAAATTGAAACCACATCCTCTATTGACACAGCTCCGATGATAATATATTTGTAACCAACACCTATCGATTTTTCAAAGTTGTTTGCTTGTTTGGTGAACTTTTTACAGAGGAAGGGGAAAAGTGCGGTATGATTTAAGTGGAAGTAGCATAGAGTATTGAACAGTAGGAGAGTTGTCTCCTGTAGGTAGATGCTAACATATCGTATACCATGTACTGCACAAATATCGCATTCTCTGGTTGTGTTGACCTTTTTCACTGATGGCTCCGACCTGATTCACCCCTCATCCTGCGATAGACTGTTCCAAATTTGGAACGTACTATTTTTGTTACAAGGGTGGACAGGTGATACATCTTACTGGTGCTTTTTGCTTTTAACAATTATGTATCTCTTTTGCTTTTTATTTGATTCTGATTTTAGGAAATGTAGCATTTGTGTGCTTTCATATTGTGTATTTACGGAGAGACATGATGCCGTATGCGTGGACATTGCACAGTGTACGTTTAGTTTGGTGCAAGATTAATGCAATTATGATTTTACGAGAAATAATACAAGAACTCGGTTGGGGTGTGTTTTTGTATTTGTCATCAATCAATGGTTGAAGGTGTAGTCAGCAGAACAAGCTGAAACTTGAACATACATTGTATGGTTACATGAAAATATCTGTCATGAAATTATTGAAATCTGATGATCGTGTTGAATAAGGAGGCGAATATCATACACTACTCACCAGAAGTTAAGAACATCCACATTGTTAATATGGCTATAGTTATTGGATACAGCCTTATAGTTGTACCTGCTCCTTAACTTATATTGAGTAGTGGATGTTCATCCACGTTTGTAAATGACGTTTGTTGTATTTTGTCAAGAAAATCCTGACTTTTCCATTGTTTACTTTCATATGTTGATAGAAAGGTTATCCATTTGATAATTAATACAAAGTTTGCATAATCATGTAGAATTTAGTTAAAATGGACTACAACATGTGCTATTAAATTGATCGAAACCAAATGGAATCGAGACACTATGGAGATACCGTGTTTATTCTAGTTACCATGGCAATGAGAATGGAATCGTGTGTATACCTCAGTGCCATAACTTCATGTAGTTTTCATATCTTAGTATATGTATCATGATAATCGCCACCAGCCCCCATCCAAGAAAACATTAGCCTCAAAGACCCATCCAATAAAACATCAGCCTCAAAGCCTCATCCAATAAAACATTAGCCTCAGAGCCCAATCCAATAAAACATCAACCTCAAAGCCCAGTCAGATAGCTTCAGTGTTTTATTTCGCTGCTCATCTCCCAACATTTAATACTTTGTATTGGGTACATGTTTATTTCAGTTATTAGCTCATCGCACAGATACTTTGCTGTAATGATTTGCTCAGAGGCTATATTTTGTTACTATGACAACTCCATCCTAGTGCTACATATTCACCAGAACATAGAAACAGAAATCTGTTCTAACAAACCCTATAGAACATACCGGATGCTATGCTTTGTATTCCCCACGTGGGATTTATAACAATTATTAATACAATGACTATTTGATCTGTTGTGTGATAAATGTGTGAAACAGAAAGTAAGGCGACACTCAATTGTAAATGTGTAAATTTGTATTTTCTTTTCAAATTTGTGAAATATATTTTGTAGGGTTTTTCAAAGAGATTTCTAAAAAACACAAATGTCTTCCAATAGAAATCATCAACACTATTCACTGTTCTTATATATTTATGTCTCTGAAAAAAAAAAAAATGCCAAGTGTTCCCACAGTATGTATGGTGAAAGAATTTAACAAACACTAATATTGTGTTTTAAAATAAAAGTACAGTTGTTTTTGTCCCCTTTAGTTGTTGGCCGGCTTCTAGGATAGCACAGGTAAAACTGTGATCTGGATCACTTCAAGGTGTCCTCCTTCCTGAACTGACAAGCCGTGGTATAACAGGAACGCTGTTCACACCAATGTTAAACACAACTCACTCAGAACACAATGCAAACCTTAGATTCTCCTTTTTTAGTTGTATAGACTTGCATTGTGTCTTCCATACCTACTTCTGGAAAAAAGATGCGTTCTTTTAACATGCATCTTTTACAGTTTCTTGTATTTTAATACATAGCATAGCACTTCTTTTCAATTAATTTCATCTGCATATCATTTCTTGAATGTGCATCACAAAATCCCCTTTATATCCTACATACCTATTACAGAGCCCCAGTGTTAATTTGAACGGACCGAATTAACCTATAAAGTGGAAATGTGTTGAAAGAGTTTCCCAGAAATCACATGCAGATGCTATCTGCAATATCCATAAAAGTCTGAGGATTGAAGAATTTAGCATTTTTAAGGCTTTCTGATTGGTCAGCCATGTTGGGATTGACAGGTAGGATATGTTAATTGCAGGCTCTGTTTAGCGAATTGATTTTACCTCTTCTCACTTTGAAATGATCAGTCGACTTGAAAGCGTTTGGGTCATGATCGATCTGAGAAAGTCATTTCAAGATCAGTGACATTTTGAGTGTCGTCTTTCTTTCTGTACGTTTTTGACTTTAGGACCAACATTAAACACTGCCACAGCCTGGTCATGTGACTGTGTTCCCAACAACAACAGTCCCTGTATTGGTCCGGCGATCCATCATTAGCCATGTCATTGATTGTATGTCAAACAAAGTCACGTGTTCATTGTATCATTCAATGTGTTGTCAGTGGGGCTCTGGTGGCTAGAAACAACTCAGATTGCTTTAGATGGACTGGCACCCATGAAGTAGTAATTGATACCTGACAAGGGGAGATAACTCATCTTTCACTTCTCTGAAATATTTGTAGGCAGAAAAGAGAATAAAAATTGTGTTTGACCCATTTTCCGTGGACACCTTTTTGTTCTGAACGGAACTGCAGGTTTTGTAAATCAGCAATTCAGAAGAAAATGAGAAATATAATCAAAATGATATTTCTTTTATACAGCAGCTTAAAAATCCCTCAGACAATGAAAGTGACAATTAAATAAATGTCATATTTCAAACTTATGACGAATTCTGGCAAAGATCTTTTAATCACCTACCAATTCAAATAAAACTTTAACATGATTAAAAACATCCTCTGCATTGGATATATTTGAATATTATCAATCTAATGACATCACTTTTTCCAAATCTGTAATGTCAGGTATCAACGTACAGGTGCCAGAGACTTTCTTTCTACCAGTCGGAGCCCTATCTTTCAAACAAATTAAAAGCCTTAGAAAGTTGAACCAAAGATGATGAATCAGTATTTTATACCCCACTGTGACGTCTCTGCAATGGCCGCCACAGATCCAGGGTTGTGGGAGCGATCACTAGATGTAGCTTGTATATAAACAGACGGTCATAATATCTGTGGATAGGTTTGGGTTTTGAAAATACTGAGGTTAACTTGCCAAGCAGACACTGGGATCCTTGCTTTCACAGCTTTGGCCAGAACAGCATCTCGAAGCATACCGGTAGTTTGGTGTTCAGGTGATCACCACAAATTTCATCAGATGTGCAGATGCTCTAAGTAAAGATGTGCATTTGATAAACCCCAGGTTTCAGCAAATTTTAGCTGCTGAGAGCCCATGACTAGTGTTAATTAGTGCTCTAAGAAGTTCAGGAGTAAAAGACGAAATAACATTGATGATCACACTGAGCTTGTTAAATACGCTAAGCAGTTTGGGGCAGCTGTCAGCAAAGTTAAGAACCTTTATGCAGTGTTAAGCAACTAAGCACTTACAGGATTAAAAGATTAAGTATCATTTGTGATAAGACTGAGCTTGTGTGATCTACATACTCAGCAAATCTAGGCAGTGTAAAGTTAAGAATTAAAAGGGCTTGTGTTATCTATAGCCCATCTCAGCCGATCTCTATGTAGCTTTTTTCTACAGGTACCACCAGATACGAGAAATAGTCATGGAATGTTTGGTTTGCCTGTATACATTAACTGCTTGATCAAAGTTCTTTGGTGTTTTTATTTTATTGGATCCAAAGATTATAATATGCTTGTTCAAAGTTGCCTCCCTTAGGACCTGGTGGTCATTGGTTCAAATCCCAGACTTGCCCATATTTTCCCTAGGTGGTAAACATCTTCACCAGTGTTGCTGTGGCCGTCCCTCATCACATCGAAATAAATTAAATAAAATTTGAAGTAAAATGTACCCAACTCTATAGCCAGACATTTTTTGCCATTTAAGCAAGAACTTCGCGCTTATCATAAAATGAAATAAAATGTTTTTTAATGATCATAATTTGGTTGAATTTTTTTTACATTTTTTTTTCTGAAGTATCGCTGGTCTTGTATAATTCAAGTGATATTTGCTACACCACATCCTCACATCCGTGGGTCCGATCTCACAGTCATACATACTCTATCATCTGTTTGCCAGTGTCAGGGATGACGGGCTCACACTAGCAGGACAGACCAAGGGCTGAACGTGGTTTGTGACACAAACAATTCAGCTGCCTTTCAATAGCTGTCATCCCTGCTATGTACACATGTAAAATTACTTGTAAAATAATGCAATTGTAATAAATGAAATATGACAGAATATTTATCTTGTGCTTTTTCAGTGGGTGAGTGAGAATGGTTTTACTCCACTTTCAGCAGAAAGGCTTGGAGCACCAGACAAATGCTTCAACATTATAAATGTGGGAATCAAACCCAAGCCTTAGGTGTGATGAGCAAACACTATAACCTATAGGCTACCCCATCTCCCTTTGTGATGGACTGACTGACTGAGTTCGGTTTTATGCCGCTTTTAGCAATATTCCAGCAACATCACGGCAGGGGACACCAGAAATGGGCTTCACACATTTTACCCATGTGGGGATTCGAACCTGGGTCTTCGGCGTGACGAGCCAACGCTTTAACCACTAGGCTACCCCACCGCCCCCCTTTGTGATGGAAGTAAGGAAAGAAAACTGATGGCTGTTTATTGTTTAACGTCGCACTGAGCAGTATTTCAGCTGTATGGTGGCAGTCTGTAAATAATTTAGACTAGACCAAACAATCCAGTGATTGACATCATGAGCCTAGATTTATACAATTGGGAAATGATGACATGCATCGGGCAAGTCAGCGAGCTCATCCACCCGATTCCGTGGGTTGCCTCTTGCGACAAGAATGCTGAAGACATATTCTAACACGGATCTTAAGTAATATTCCTATCTCATATTGAACCAGACAATTCAGTGATTGGCATCACAATTCAGTCAATTGACATGCAATCAATGGAGTCACCAAGCCTTACCACCCGATCTACTTTGTTGCCTTTTATGACAATCAGTTTATCCAAGTAGGACACAACCTGTATCGAACCTCCATATAGTGTGGTACAATTAATGTGTTGTGTGGAACCCCCACCACACATTATACCAAGTGTTTTGTTTGTTGTTTATGCCACACTCAGCACTTTTCCAGCAATTTGACATCAGTCTTTAAATAATGGATTCTGTACCATACAATACAATGTTTGACATAACTGGCAGACACGACCTTACAGGCATTTTTACATTTACCACACTCCCAAACTTTCATATCCTTTGCACAATCTATCCCTTGATAAAGATATGTGATATATAAAACTCATTGACCTTTACCATCCAGCATCCAATCAGCCAATCAGAACACAAGCACCAGATAAAAATTTCAAATAGTGAATTAATAAAGACATCTGATTGGCTCAATGAGCAGCACATCCTTCATACAGATTGGTCAGTCAAACCTTGCTACTGCCCAAACTGAAGTGACCATCTATGGACGTTCTCGTCAGATGTTCACGCAGAGAGATCTGATTGTATTGAGATTGTTCTTCAGAAACTTCATAACAATGAACAACACTTGGACAAAAATCCTTCTTTATTTCCATACCTTCATGTAAGATGATACAAGATATAAAAATATATGTCAAATATTTATATACTCCATAACAAACAATTCCTGCACATCTTAATCTGTAATATACACACCGCTAGTATGGTTTATTCTGCTTTTAGCAACGTTCAAACTGCACAGCGAGGGACACCTGAAATGGGATTCACACATTGTACCTGTGTGGGGAACCAACCTTGGCCTTCAGCATGACAAGAAACACTTTAATCACTGCTCTAACTCCCTGCCCCTACATAGACCAACCCTTAAGTCAGTGATTGAATCTTGTTTTATGCTACCTAAGCATGTCACGGATCACATGCTGGCAAACTGAAGGGTCCCACGAATCTGTATACAACAAGAAGCATGGAACCCAATGGTCAATCCCTTTATTCTGAACACTGCACACAATTATCTGTTAAATGCCATACTCAGCAGTTGTCCAACTATACAGTGGCCAATATAAATCACCATGTTGAGATCAGACTAACAATGATCAAGTAATGTTTAGGTGTTCAACATTCAAAGAAAGAAAGTCAGCACATGTTTCCTGGGACTAATTCTAACCTGGAGGAAAAGTGTTTACACGCGTGAGTGAATATGGGTTCAACCAGCAATATTACGGCCATATTATGCCTGGGATGCAAGATAGAAGCTTCCGACATTTGACAAGAATCAATTCTGGTTCTTCATCAGCCAACACTTCAACCACAAGGCTAGCAGCCTCCCCTAATTATACATTACCAGAAATTACTGAGACGACAACACATTATTGAGACAATAGCCAACAGGGAAAACCAGGGCCAACAACTGACATCTACACTGCCCCAGCTTCACAAGCCTCCCTGGTGTTTGAAATGGTGCCATTTTTTCTGAAAACTGCTCATAGTTATTTATAAAAATGCCTCACTCAGCAATTGTGGAGCTATACAGTGGACGCTATAAATCATCAGGACTGGAACAGACAAACCAGTGATTGAGCAATGTTGGGGTTTGAAATGGTGCCACCAGAGCATGAGTTGGCAAGACAGTACCTCAGTCAATACACAGGGCACCAGACCATCCTATACTTGTATGACTGGGTGCGGCAGCACGGATGGCTTCACACGGACAAAAATGACACCATTTTGAAAAACATCAATCTGAATGTTCCTGCCACATCGATGAGAGGATATGTTGGTCTGCATGCCTGGACCTGAATCAGGATAAGGCTGATCAAGAACCAAACTGCGTACATGTTACATAATTATATCGCAACCGATAAAAAACGAAACCTCACGAGATCAAATCTTTGAAGGGCATTTAGAAGTGGAATGCATAAGAAAAGCAAGATTTATGGATGTCAACTTCTTTATTAATAACACAAGGTGTTTTTCACAATAAAGAAGCTGACATCCATAAATCTTGCTTTATTCATGAGATCAGTTCAGATCCAGGTCCAGGCCAGGGCCCCGTTCCTCAAAGCAATCATAGCGCTATGACGGTCGTAAGACTTCGTTAAAGTATGGGAGTTACGATCATCGTAGCACTACAACAGTCATAAGTCTTTGTTAAAGTATGGGAGTTACGATCATCGTAGCACTACAACAGTCATAAGTCTTTGTTAAAGTATGGGAGTTACGATCATCGTAGCACTACAACAGTCATAAATCTTTGTTAAAGTATGGGAGTTACGATCATCTTAGCGTTACAATTGTTTTGTTGAATGGGGCCCAGGACAGATCCAGCAGTACTCTTCACCATCCTTCCCACTTTAACCTCAACTTCCACAATCATATATTACAATGAGCTTCTCTACTGGAATCATGAGCACCAACATACATAACATGGTAATATGTACAATAAAATATGTTTGCTTATTACTCGCCCGTGGAAGATACTGCAGTGTAATATTTTTACGGTAATATTACACTAGTGTAAAACCGCTAGACGTATGACGTCATAATGGTTACAGTTATGACATCACAATGCTAATACCTCTGTCACAATGGTATTAGACCTAGTTAGTTTGACTCACGGAACGCTGAGAGTCATCACACTTTGTAGGCAGTTTCTATCAGTTTATGTTCGCGAGTAATAAACAGAATACTAAACTCGCTCCCATGAAATACCACTTTTATTAAACTCGTGAAAATCATTAACTCGTTTAATAAAAATGTAATTTTCTGACTAAAATTGATATTTTATACTTATCCTGACTCATGATAATTATGCTTGTCTCCTTTCTCTTGGCCGATCATGTGACCAATTGGGCGCAAAAGGGAGGAAAGGGACACTACTCTTGGGTGAGTGATTTTACGTCCGCTTTTTTAAAGGGAACTTCAAGGGATTTCAAGTGTTCCACTATCATTCGCAAGAGGAAGGAGACAAGCATAATTAGCATGAGTCAGGATAAGGAAAAATATGGTATTACACGGAAGGTCGTTTAGTATCCTCTATCTATATTAGTTAAGACAGTTTTTTGTGTGGCGAGTATGGTTTTAGTCTAATCAGAGAAGGAAATCCAAATATCAGTGTCTGTAGCGTCCACTTGACAGAGGCCCCCATGTTGAGCTGTTTGTCTCTGAAACACACAATGTTGACCATGAGGGAGGGAGGTTTATTTTGGTTGGTTGTTTAGCGCTGCATTCAATAATATTCAAGCTTTATTACTCGCCCTTGGAAGATACTGCAGTGTAATAGTTTTACGTAAATATTACACTAGTGTAATACCGCTAGACGTTTGATGTCATAATGGTTTACACTCATGACGTCACAATGCTAATACCTCTGTCACAATGGTAGCACGTAAACTCCGTTCAAGTGACCAAAATAGTTCCTAAATACCATAAAATCCAGATCCTTCTCCAGCACTGCCCAATGGTCTGGAATTTCCATCAGAGTTGAAATTCCAACTTTTGAGAAATTCAAATCAAGACTAAAGAATACCTAAAATGAGTGACAAACTCCACTCAACACTCCCGACTTTTATCTTTATAAATTGTGTCATATCTGGACATTATAAATCCACATTTATTATTATTATTATTTCAAGTGCATTGTTTTACTTATCGAAATACACTAAAATGAGGACAAATAAACTCGCCAAAGTGTCTATCTACTCCTATTTGTCTTATGTGTATATTTAATACATCGGTACCAGTGTGTATGTTTACAATACACAAACTGATACATGATAGCTTGAGTTGATAAAGCCGAAACCCAGCATATCGACTGGTCAGCAATATAGCCAATAATCAATCTCTATCCAAGCTGTTGAGTGACCAAACGTGCTATTCAGAAATTTCGCCCACACCCTATCACCTGTCCTTTCCTGTGTGACAGGTATCTCATGATACAATTGGTCACAGGTAACATGTGGCCAGCCACTATATTGAACAGTTGAGACACCGAACGTTCTATTCGGGAAATTTGATGACGCCCTATCACATGAATCTTTGTTTTATGTCTAAGCAAGGAATATGTAGTACACATTTTTATATGTATGTTTGTATGGTCACATATGTTTTCTGCATTAAATCTAGATGAAACAAAGTGCCAAGCTATGAATGTGCTCTATGTTAGTCACAGACTAGCATAATAGTACTTTCATTAAAATAATTTGTATACACTAGAAATATATCGGCAAAAACGCTATTTTCGTCAAAGATCATAAAGTATGTTAGTAAATTCTTCTTTACAGTATGTCATTGTCATAGATGTTTTGTAAACTTAAACCTCGAAAATGATATATGAGAAAGAGAATTTGTTTATGTGTGTCTCATCCCTACATACAGAGAATACATGCATATTGTGATAAAATATAAATGTACAAGCAGCCAAAGGTCTACAAGAGAAACTTGCAATAAAATTACATAAAACTTTGCAATACACGCTATGTATGTATTCACACCTGCTTTCTTTCAACATATATCTTTATGACACAATTAAACAATCAGGACTTGTTGTACGACTAGACAGTTTCCTGTCATCCCCGAAACCTGCCAGGGAAATCAGGTGTGATTAGCACTAATTAGTCTCGACACAGCGAGTGGGCAGTCAGCAAGGGGTTCCAGGTGTTGAGTAGTGAGGTGGCTCTCGGGCTTAATGAGTTAATATAATATGGGTTAAATTCTGACATTTACATAACACTACAGTAAGTCAGAGTATTATCTGAAACTGGCTTAAATATAAGCAGAAAACATCTCTTGGTTGAGATACAACAATTTGACCCAGGAGATCTGCTTTGCAGAGCATTGTGACATCACTGGTTAATGCCATGACATCACAATCAAATGACATCAATAATCTCCTTGCCAATGAAGCTGGGCCTAGATTTTCAAAGCTCTCTTAGTGCTAAGATAGTCATAAGTGCCATACATTTACATTAACTTACGACTATCTTAGCACTAACAGAGCTTCGAAAATCTAGGCCCTTAAGGTTAGTGATACTTTTTAACACTCAATACACTGGCTATTACTGTTTACAAACTGTGAAAGGAAGAATGACTTTGGATAGTAATTAGAATCCTAATCTTCTGTGTAAAGCTAAAACATATTACCGCAAGTTTAAAACTCCAATGATGCCTCAGAGATTGTATTGCCTGTAATTGCTATATTTGATGCCAGAAGACACTGGGATGATATTCCTGCATCAGTCGGATGCTGCTGATGTACTTACATGCACAGCTTCTCCGCATACGCTGCCTCCAGACAGTGCACCACCAACGTCATCACGGTCCTGGGAACATACGACCAGCATACAGAAAACATGTCAGTGTGGGCCACATCTGTTGTCTGTTACATAATGGCTAGGCCCAAAACTATATCATCATCACAACAGGCCATGATACATGCTCACTTGACTTACAGACATGAGTGGTAAGTCAACAGCCAGTCAGAACAACCATTGTGAACACTATAGTCTGTTTGGCTCACAAGCGGACCAATGAATTGCAATCAACTCAACAACTAATAAACATATAATACTCAGACCGCTCACGATCATACCCACTCTGTGATTTTTTTGCAGAATTTATGTCCTAAAAGTAAAAGTTGTTTAACAAACTATCATTAACATTTTGACACAGTTCACGATTTGTTACGAGGGAGGGGTGCAAAGAAAGTAACAGCCAGGTGTGAGAGAAAAGATGGAAACAGCACATTACAGCACAGGTAAATTAGTCAATAACTTTGTCGGCACTTGTGCATGTGCTCCACATACAGTGAGTGAGTGAGTGAGTGAGTGAGTACGGAATCGAACCCGGGTCTTCAGTGGGACGAGCTCGAGTGAATGCTTTAACCACTAGGCTACCCCACCGCCCCTACTAGTTTGGTAGAGATCTACATTCAAATTGTGGTTTTGTATAAGCTAGCCCTCACTATATATTTACTGAATCTGGACACTGCCATAAGCCATAAATGAAATATTAGGGGCAAAAGATGTTTTCCTGAATATGAAGACAGGAGAACAACGTTATGTTTCTATAGTCTGTCAACTTAACTTTTGGCACCCTGTTTTTCACAATTTACATAAAACTCCTGAATATTTTAAAACACTGCTCTGTTCATATGGTAATTGTATACTGTGACCTAACAAGATATCGATTTTAGTAATTCTAAAACGATTATTAAAGATTTTGCCTTTAAGCCTGTCATATAATAATCGTAAAACTGTGGAGAATTTTACGAGGGGTTAACACACCTGACGGAAAAGCCAACAACACTGTAAAATGTGTGTCAGCGTGATATGTACATGAACGGGTATTTACATTAGCCAATTAAGTGATGTCAAAGATCATCAACACGCACAGGTTGTAGGGAAAACGATGTTGTACAAAGATGACTGGCAAATCATCAAAAGAGTTTACGACTTTTTCAAGAGCGAGGCTAAGCAAAAAAAAAACTCTTTTTTTTTTATTTTAATGCCACGAAGATCTGCAAAAGAATATTGCAAAGAGTTATCTCCGATGACACTATTTCAGAGCCTGACGATGACATGGCAGTTAAATCGGGGACCGTCTCAAAACATGCAAAGAAAATAAAGCTTGATGAATTCGATAGAAGGATTGTGAGGGACGTCATGCGTCGGTTACATCGATCCATATTGTCAAGGAAACTGACGAAACTATTGTTCAAAAGAAGACCACAACATCACTGTATCAAAGCATACCATATGCAAGCTGTTGCTCAAATTTGGATATAGATACAAGAGATCAGCAACCAGTCTTTAAAGACTTCAATGAATCTACTTGTTTAAAATGGATTTATGATGATTAAACAGTCCCCGTAGATTTGCTTGCAGTCGTAACAATGTAAACAAGATGCACGCATGTCACACCATGTTGTTGGCTGCTCCATCGTATCATTTTACTCCCTTGTGTAACTACTTCTATTTTTCATATTTTAATAAGATGGCTTCTTAAGAAGAAGCTTTAATAATTGACATAAAATTATGAAATTTAAACCTTGGATAGGTCATAAGATATAAAGAGCGTGTGCACAAAAACATTTTGAAGGCATTTTTGGTTAAAAGGTAAATTTTGAAAAACAGGGAGCTAAAAGTTCAGTTGGCGGACTATAGGCATATCTACAGTGTCTGAAACTGTTTTCTGGTGAGTCAATACTGGTCACATTGCTGTTTATTTCAATCATGAAACAACAGAGACATTCATACTGTTAGCCATTTTAATGTTACGATCACTCTCCACTATACCTCAGACGCATCATGGCTTGGCCGATGATTTTATTACCTCCCTTGGCTGTCTTTTTTGGCTGGGAAGTTGAACGAACCAATCAAAACTCACTTTCGCTTCTTAAATTATCTAACCGTTTAAACTTAGCAACACAGTTGATGCAGAGGTACTCTGAAAGAAGTAGGAGTTCTTTCATATAATTTTTTTAATTTGCAGATCTGTCAATTTTTCGGTATGATTTCCCCAATAATTTGAGTGGCACTGCAAACAAACCTTCACGACTGCAACCGCTATCTTTGTTGACACTGGCAAGCTCGGATGTAACGGCGGCTTGGCGGAGCCCGCAAAGGGACATAATATATATCGGGCCAAGCCGTGGATGCATTATCGAGGATGTTTTAAGCACAGTGTGACTTTAACTGATACTTGTTATTTAATTCCACACTGCAATAATCCAGCCATCAGTGGGCTTTAAATATCAAGCCTGGACCAGACAATCCAGTGACTGACATCATGAGCAATCGATCTACTCAGCTGGAGTACAGTGACATGCATCAAAGTGTGCCTGACTACAGATCCTGTTAATCACCTCATATGACGAGCTGAATTCCGGATCTTAATGACAGTCTTAACTGAAAGCCTACCAATAGGGTTCCTTTAGTTGCTAATACAACTGTAGTTTTCAATGCACAGTTTAGATGTTTGTTGAAGAATGTTGAAAGGACAACTCACAAGCCCAGACACACACTGGGGTAGTTTTTTCCAAGGTGTCTGGCAAAGTCTCCTAGTGGTCCGAGAAACAAGGGTATCCTATCTGGTGCAAATGTGGAGATCTGAAAAAGAACAAATTGTTTAAAAACATTTATTTACTTGAATCTGTCTATCTGTGAGGTTACATGGCTCATAGTAATAACAATAAACTTTGCTTTTAACATTTTTCTGATATCAACTTTTGGGTATATGTCAATCAAGGTATATGTCAATCAGTGTATATCTTACATATTCCTCAACTGGTGCATAAGAAAACCTAATTTGGTATAATTCAGTTGAAAAACAAATCTTGAGCATTATAATTATGTCACCTGTCTTATGATCCTTACCTTCTCATTCATAATAATAAATAAAATCAAAATATTCCTTCCTACTTTCATTAAGAAAAATTCTCAGCCAAATGCAGAAAAAAATGTATGATATTGACCATATCATAAACATGTCGTAGGTGAGCGTAAAGGAGAGCGTGTCATGCCTCGTGGCACACAGCAAAATCTGTACAATAAGCCAACACATTTTTCGAGAAAATATTTTAAATGAAAATAGGACAACACATCCAAATATTACATCAAATATTTCCACATGACAAAAAGGAGTGCTTTTGAGAATAATTTAACTTTTATTTTCTCATACTGCAACCTGTGGTTATCTATAATCTGATCACATATTTCCAAACAATGGTATTTATCAGCTGCTTATCTGGCCAGTATTAGTTTACCCACCCCAAGCTCAAACGTTGTGGTTATTTAGACAGAACTGTGCCGACTTTGGCTATACATAAACAATAAACAACTCAAATATAGTAGGAAGGTGAGTTTCTAAAGTTTGGGCGCACACCAAATAAAAACAGACGACCTATACATGCATTGCTCAAAAACAACAAAACACACACACAAAACAGAGTGGTTTTGGACCCTTCAGATTCAGAACTTGGGCTGACCGGGCTACTGTATGTCATTATTTTCGCTTCAAGTTCAAAACAGGTACTGAGTCAGTATTGTTTATATTATTTCGTCTGCACATCTGCTGCTGGCAGGTGAACTAGAATAGAGTCATACCCCGAGTAACCACAGTCCGAACAGTACTGCCACTACCAAAAACGGGTTAGGAAATACGAAATAGTCCTTGTTAGCATGTTGAACCTGCTTGCTATCTCGCGCGGCCATGTTGAGGAGTTACACGCCCATGTGTGTAAGGGAGATAACTTTTGATGTGCGACGGTAAAATCACCACAACTACTGAAAATGAGTTTATCATCCAAAACTGTGTTCCACAGGAGATATTGCTTGTGTGAGATCAAAAGATATCTTCTAGGAGATATCGCTTTGACAGTAGATTTTGTACAATGCCCTGACAATGCTATGACGTCATGAACTTGATGACGTCACAATGCTACGACATCGCTTCACTGCAAGCCTAATGGCAGTACTGTGTTGAGAGATGTACATTTTTCATTGCAAACTAATGAAGGGTGATTTTGGATGATAAACAGAATCTCACCCTCGTGTCTTCTGATATCAAATATATCAACACTCGTTGATAAAAGTTAAAATATCCTCGGCAAGCCTCGCATATTTGTAACTTTATCAACTCGTGTTGATATAATTGATATCAGAAGACACTTGGGTGAGATTCTATATTTAACCTCTGTGTGTGTGTGTGTGTGTGTGTGTGTGTGTGCGTGCGCCTGAGTTAAACTAATATTAGTCTCTGAATATATATAATTTTGACAGAAACAAATAATTCTTCTTATATTGACAAGAAGCCCCAGTGAGATGGGAGATTCGGGACCTGAGGAAATCTAGACTTGCTGCAGTAGAGCTCCAGCAATGGAGGAAGGGCTTGGCAATAGAGAAAATAATGCAGTTCAAGGACTGGTCCTTGAATTGGACTTAGAAGTGATACGCTACAGGAAGAGAGTTATATTGATGTTAATTTTGTGTTCCTCATAATAAAGAAGTTGACATCCATAAGAACTTTCTTCCTTTGGTTCAGGGAAAGATTAGCGCGCGCGAGCGTGCGTATGTGTTTAACGAATTCAGCAATATTTCAACCATAGGAAAGCGTTATGTAAATCATGCAGTCTTTTCATGACAGTTCAGCTATTGATATGATCGTCGGTCGTTCATAACAAAGCTAGTGAGCCTGACCACCTGACCACGCCAAGTTCGTAGCCTCTTACTTCTACTTGTTGAAGACTAAATCTAACCCGGATCTACACTGGGCAAATTTGTGACAGAATTGCAGCTACCGTTTCTGCGTGTCAGATCACATATAACCCCCTTGTGAAAAGTGGATACATTGTTGACGCACCATCTATGCAAGGTTGTGTTCCTCGACCCCGAATCAAACCATGACCGGCGGAAAACGAACTTATCTCACCGTACACATAATTATGTTACTTGTCTGGCTTATGCAAACATACTACATCTACATTTATTCACTTTTATAAAAATCATTTTCACATTCGTCGGCAATGGCAAGACGAAACAAAACAAAAGCAATTGTCCCCTGAATTGGACAAGTCCAAGCTGTGAAAAGGTGGTGGGAGTTGGTGTTTGGTATTTCCTCAAACAAATATCAATACAGTGAAAAGTGAGTAAGTGCTGTGATACTATATTCTGTCCAAGTAATTTCTTCCTAAAGTAAAGATGAAACATGTAAGGGCAATTTGTGTTGTGAATTTCTTTATAAACTGACGTTCAGAAGAAAGGACACAATCACCTGATTCTTTGGTAAAATGTTTTCTTTAAAACAGCATTAATATTTTAAAAAGTGTTTTGATTCTGCCTTGTCACAAACATCGTGCAAGTGTTTCCAAAACACCAGATATTGTACCCAATTACAACATTGCTAGCGAAATATTTATGGTTTTAATGGAAATAGTCCCAAAACACCAGGTGTGTACTTTCTTATGAACGTCAGTATATATGAGGTACTGTACACTGGTGAACATCGCTGATTCATTCATTCACTCTTCCATTCACCCATTCCTTCTTTCTTTTTTTCTTTCTTTCTTTCTCAGATTTAACTCGTGAGGCCTCCCAGCATCGAAATGGCGACAAGTGTAACAATTCCAGCAGGAAACAGCTCGGTACTACACTATTTAGGAGAACACCAGTTACTCCCAACTCACTGAAAACTAGCATCCGCCAATATACGAAGTCGTCAAGTTGCAAGCTATGAGCAGGTCCCCTGGAACGGCGTCATGATGGAACAATGGCCTCCATTGTTGTTTTTGCGCGTATCTATCTTAACTTCGTTTATGATGATTAACGTTAAAATGGTTCTTAACATATTGTGCTTGATGAAAGTATCATTTATGTAGATATAAGGATCATCTACGTAGACGTAAGTATCATCTACGTAGACGTAAGTATCATCTACGTAGACATAAGTATCATCTACGTAGACATAAGTATCATCTACGTAGACATAAGTATCATCTACGTAGACGTAAGTATCATCTACGTAGACGTAAGAACTGTATGCGAAATAGCCACTGGCCCGCTAGCCCGTGGCTAGTACAAATCCAGTCGGGCCAGTAAATCTCTACAGTGAATTTTCATGGGGTCATTTTGTAAATACATCACTCTCTTCGACTTGTTAAGTTATAATACACTTTTAAATCATGCAAGATTATGGCCTGATAAAAATTTCATATTAGCAGCTTAATGATGAAACCCGTGTCATGCTGACAATATCTTACTCTCATCTATTCTTGTAATGTTTCTACATTCGAATTTCGGGATAGTGAATTATTTTGTGGGCAAGTTACTTTCTGGCATAGCTAGCCCGACTGACAAGCAAAATTTGGAAACTATTTCGCACACTGCGTAATTATCTTCTACGTTGATGAAAGTATATTCAACGTTGAAGAAATATATATTTTAAGTTAATGTTCTATGTTAATGAAAGTATCATCTATGCGTAATGATGACATGTATTTAGAGTGTGGCACTAAAGCGCTTTCACCGTATTTCTCAGTTACGTTACCGACTTACATTTGAAGCGAATGTGATTGTGTGAGTTTGGTTTACCACCTCTCCAGGTATAGCTGGCGTGTGACGTCAGAAGTTCTAACCCAAGTAAAACACACGTACACGGGCATGGTGCTGGCAAACCTTGAAACATAGTCGAGACTGACGCATCTTCATAGATGTCACTCGTGTCCAAGGGCCGCAACTCTGTGCAGTGAGTGAGTTAGATTTACGTCGCACTCAGCGATATTCCGGCTATATGGCGGCGGTCTGTAAATAATCGAGTCTGGACCAGACAATCCAGTGATCAACGCATGAGCATCGATCTACGCAATTGGGAATCGATAGCATGTGTCAGCGAGCCTGACCACCTGATCCCGTCAGTCGCCTCTTACGACAACTGGCTTCTTCTAACCCGGATCTTCTCGGGTTGCCTGCGCAGTGAATTGGGGCGCCTTATACGACTGGGGCAACCGTTGTCCCTCAAAAGTTTTATATAATTCTTCTACACATGAGATAACACACGTTATTTAAGTCAACACTTAATATCGTTCCCTTCAGCAGCTGATAGCGAGCGAGTGTGGTTTTAGGTAGCTTCAGCAATGATCTTGAAATATCACGGTGAGGTGCACTAGAAATGGGCCGCACATATTGTGTAACCATGGGGAGACTCGAACCGGGAACTAGGCATGACGACCGAACGCTTTTCAAGCTACCCGAGCGCTCAACATCAGGAAGTGTAAAACAAAATGTGTGCATATAGCAAGACTCAACATTAGTATCTTCTTTGTATTAGAAGATGTAAAAATCATAGAAGCTACTCTTAACTATGATTTAGCAAAATTGAATGAATGGGCTGACAAATGGTTAGTTACGTTTAACCCGAATAAGACAAGTCCACAAGTTCCTGACTTGATTTTCAATAATGAACATTTGGAACGTGTACATCAACATAAACACCTCGGTGTCATCTTTTCAGATAATACAAAATGGTCTCATCATGTAACTGCTGTAATAGAAAAGGTCTAAAAAAATTGTTTCCTCATTACGGACGCTAAAATACGTATTACCTGGATATATCCTTTCTAGTATGTATGAAATGTATATTAGCCCTATTTTAGGATATGCATCTGAGGTCTGGAATAAGTGCGCTAGCTTTATTTGTGATAAACTTGAAATGTTACAACTTAAAGCAGCAAGAATTGTAACCGGATTGCCTAAATTCGCTTTAAGATATAGTTTCTACGGTGAAACTGGTTGGTTACCATTGAAAGTTAGACGAACACAAAGAAAACTCTGTACATTCTACAAAATTGTTAATATGCAAGCTCCTGATTACCTGATAGCAAGTCAAAACATTGATTACACAACAGTCTCGTTTCCTGCTGACTGGGTTCCGTCCTATTACGCAACTTAGTACAATAACCAGTCCAGAATTTTGAGACCAATTCATCAAACTGGATGCATAAATATTAAGCAGTATTATTTGATACATCTAAGCACTTGTATATTGCAACACTACGCTCCTTCTAATCCTCGATCGCAAACACGCCGTGCACCGTGCTCTCACAAACAGAAATCTGGAAATCGTGGAAATCTCAAAACGAGGCTCTGCCGCTAGAAAAGTTTGGCGGTCTGGTACGGACTTGATATTATATCAATCACATTGTGCGGTACACTTAATACGCACAAAGAACACTTAACAGGTGTAACCAGTGAGCCAGATGAATTGTGAATCATTTTACGACCTCATCAAACAGGAGCAGTCTGTGACGTCTTAGTTAAGGTCGTGCTGCCCACACCTCAGACATAAAATATAGAAATACGATGTTATTAAAGTTTAAACTTAAAATTAACATCTAAATACCAATTTCTTATGAAACAAGGAATTGCAATTCAATGTAACCATAGTTGTTTGTGGTGTCTCTTTTCACTTTCACACGAGAAAATTCGGATCAGCTGAAAAGTAGGTCATTGTCTGAATAGGTTAATGAGACTCATGTTTCGGTTTGTTTATTTCCACCTTTTACTGAAACCATTTCCGGATACAACTTGCCTAACAAATCAGATTTGACTGTTCCTAAATTTCGCACCTCAATTCTCGTCATTTATTTATGATTCTGCAAGTTTCTGGAATGTTCTCTCCTCTACAACAAAATGTACAAATTGGTTACCGTCGTTTAAATCAAAGTTATATGGAATAACA